GGTCAGTGCTATGTCAAGGCGCACCATCAATTTTCATCTTTCAAAGACTGAGCATAGAGTTTCATCACAAGACTGCCTATTGGCGAATTTTCTTTGGAGCTAATCACTCAAGGCAGTGAGGTCTCCTAAGAAATCCCAGCCATCTCCTTCCCAGAGTCATTGTCAGACGACCTCATGTCATAATTGAGTGCAGCTCAGACAGTGCATGCCCTGACTGGTCATGAACACATGCCCACCAAAAGGTTACTAAATCCCAACCAATCTTTCCTCAGAATTAAGGGATGTGTCAGTTGGGAGCTAACCTCTTGGGTTTAGCCTTGCGATTTGCCCTTTTATTTTATGAATAGTGGCACTTTGAGATATTCCTGGATATCCCCATGCAGACAACCAACCCCCACCCACTCAGCTTCTAAAAATGCTAAGGTTAAAACAGGTTTTGGTGGACCATGGTCTGCATGCAGTTCATGGCCACCAAGCCTTGGCACCTTACCAATATAAAGTATCTCCCTGAACAGAGGAGGGTGTTGGACAGCTGGCAATGCGGAACACCACCTCTGTTGTCAGGCAATCCTCCAACACACCTGGTTCAGTGATTGTGTGAGTGAGGGCCAGTGTCTGCAGCTGCCAGCACTTATGGAGAGACAGCAGAAGATAATGTTTTATTTGGTGAACTCAGCTGCTCTATAGCAGTAAGTCATGGTGTAAATTCTGCTGGAAGCTTCCTCCTCAGGGTCAGGACTGGTCTCCTCCCTGTCATCAGATGTGGCTGCTCCAGGGTGTTCTCTGTATGCCCCGCTCATTAGTCCATCGCCACATCATTAGAGGTGGCTGGCCAGTGGCAGCAGACCCGTTTTGCAGTGTCAGCAACAACCCTTCTCACAAACTCTTCGAGATTGATCTGCCTCAAAACTGAAGCCTCCCCCTTTGTGGGACAAGGCTTAGGCAAAGGGATGGCCCTCTGATCCCATCTTATCGCCCCTGAAGCAGCAGTGTTGGTCCTCCATGGAGAGATGCACGTGGTATAGAAGGAAAAAAGGTGATGAATGTAGACTCCATCAGGAAAAGACTCATAGCCAACACAGAGTCCTCCCCTGACAACAACAGTGGCAGCCGCAACAACATTCCTCTGGTGGCCAACAGTCATCTTCCTCCCCCATCTGGTGAAGTGACATTGACAGAGGCAGGGGGAGTCGTGGCAGGAGTGATGAGGAGCCAGGCTGATCGATCAGATGAGCAACCTTGTCTGGCACTCAGACTGAACCCACTTCACCACTTCTCCTCTGCAGAAGAGCAGCACACCACACTGCACCACACATGGATTTTAAAGTCTATGGCATATCAGGGCTCTAGACTAACTTTTTGCCATGGGCGTACCGGTACGCCTAACTTTAAAAAGTTAGGCGTACCGGCACAAAAGTTAGGCGCACACAAATTTTATAATAATTTATATAATATAATGTGTTTTTCTGGATACACTGTGCTTTTTCAGCATTCAAAGATTGATGACACCGTGTAAGAGCACTGGCTATGAATTTCAGAAGGATCAGGCCTTAACAGAAAAGTTAGCAATAGTTCTTTTCCTATTACAGCTACATCCACTTCTGTCGTGCCTAGGCTGCTCACTAGGGCTGGGTATCATCACTGATTTCTATAATCCATTCGATTCCGGTTTTCAAAGTCCCGATTCGATTCAACTTAGCCTCAGACAGTCAGAAATATTATAACTCTGATCATTTATCAGTACTGACTTCATCAGAATTGTGAGCATCAGATGCCTTTGTGTGAAAGTAACTGAGAATAAAACACAGAAAAACATGAAGGAGATTTTCCTGGTCTGGCTTTCAGATAACCTTAAAAATATTCTACAATGTTCTGCATATAAAGTTTAAATTTCTTCGGTATTGAACAACAGAAAAAATAGGCTTTCTTGTCCGAGGTCATTTAAGTGAAAAAAAGAAAAGAAAAAGACAGCGCTGTAAACAATGGTAGACTGGTGGGTAATAAGCGAATGAATAATACAGAAAACAGAGATTGGAGACGGGAAACTGTTCTTGAAGTACAAAGAGAGATAGAGAGAGAGCTAGCTGTGCATGGAGTGTGATTTTAATAGTCGTGGAAGCAAAACAGCAAAATTCATGACGACATTGATCAAATGTGAAGCGCAGTTTGCTGCTTCTTTTGCTGCTGGCTCGTGAATTTTGGTTGGAGAGAGACAAAACCTGCAGCTCAGAATCAGCACAAAAAGACGTAAACACAGCATGGACCGGACGCATCAGAACCGCTAAGCTCCGACAGCATGTCCGTCTGCGGGCCGTCGGGTGAGAAAGCCGAGAAAGACAAAGCTGATTCTGATGCGTCGGTCCGCTCTGTGTTTACGTCTTTGTGTGGAATGCGTGTACCTGCTCTCATTTGCTGTTTGGTTGTTGTTGAAATGGTTTTGTGAGCTTTAATCTGAGAATCTGGCGTTTCTGGCAAAACACAGTTATATTTAAAAGTCGATTCAGGATTTAATTAATTGATATCGCTTTATTCAAGCTACTCACCTCCCACTTCCACCTGCACTTTCAACTGGACCACGGCCAATCAGAGAGGTCCCGCCCCTGACTATCTCTGATTGGTTTAGTCCACGATAGGGGCAAAATGTGTGTCTGTTGTTGACCACAGGGAAGGTTGCAGATTTTTTTTTTTTTTTTGCTACCCGAACATTTGGTTGCACAGGTGCAACCTCCGCCAATAGTCAACAGGTTGATGGCAATGGACCCACTTTGTTGTATTACAAGGAAGCCTGTTCACAAATTACCCCAGGAGCAACAGCTTTAGTAGCTGTGTTTCCCCTCTTGATTGCTCAGGCTGCAGCCACCTTGCTACTGCATCATCCGTTCCCATATGTCCAGTTCAGATCAGCTCAACTCTCTCCCTCCGGTCCCAGAGGGCTACTAAAATAGACACAGCATGATTAGACATTCCTTCCCAGCTGCCTTGCCAGCCTCCTTGGCAGTGCTCACTGCCCACTGAACCCAATGCACCACCCCCAATCTGCTGCTGAGCCCCAGACCACACCTCTGCTTCATTCATGATTGCATGATGTCCCACTGCGTGGTGGTTTGAATAATGGAGCATCGCAACTGTTATGGAGTCAATAGTGATTATTTTTTCCAGCTCAGTAACAAAATGATCGGAGAGGTCGAGTGAGAATGATCTTGACAGTATAATTCACTGAGCTTAATAAATAATAATCTGTTATATATGTGTGTTTATGTGGGTCCAGCTCATTTGCTTTCCTTCAGAACATGCTAACTGGGCCGCTGGATAAGCCCTGTCTCTTTGTTCTTGAATTACTTTTTAATTTTTAGATTTTAATCAGCTCACTGAAATTTGAAAAGACAGAACTGAAGCAAGAGCTTCTTACTTCACTGAACAATTTACATTTTAGGAGAAAATTAATCTCCATTTCAACCGCATCTGTCAGAGAGTGATCACATGTTGTGTATTCTATCAGTTTCCCAGATTATTTTGTGTGTTCTTCATTTGATTGCCAATCTGTAGTTACTAAGACTTGATTAGACCTTGTCTCTGTTTTGCATCTCTGACAGTTAACAGATATTTTGCTCATTTATATTCTCTGTTCATGACCAGAGAACATTCTGATCTGCTTTGTTTATTTTTGATATTCCAATACTCCAGATAGGTCTCTTAGTTTTATAATTTGATATAGTTTGGTTTCTGAATGGAATTTGGCAAGCAGTTTTGTTGTGAGACTAGTGTATTTGAGAAGACACACTTATTCTCATCACCAATTGACATGAAGCCCTCTTTTCAGGCCTGTTGGCCGTCCAGCCCCACGCACGGGACGATCCGGGGTAGCTCGTTAACGGAGATTTGCCGTGTTGTGGCGTTAACGTCATTTCAACGAGATTAACGCTGACAGCACTAGTGGGAACACAACGAATATGACTGCAAATTTACTCCGACATCATCCTAGTGCAAAGACAAGTGGAAGCAGACAAAAACAACAAGCACACATGCTACACACTTTACCTGAGTCATTTAGACAGCCGTTAGCACATGATTCTCCTTATGGGGACCTGATATGTTTAATATGCTGCTGAGAATATAACCCAGAAGAACCGTATAGTATAGCTTTTATTTTGGAAAAAGCCATTTCTCTGTAATAAAGTCTCTTTTCCAAAGATGAGTGATTTCTCGATCAGAGAGATTTATTTTTTTTATTACTTTGTTGTTTCAGCAATATTAAATTTAAAAACTGTACTTTTGAGTTAAAATATATATTTATAATTTTAATAAATGACAAATTAAAAAGGCATGAACTTTTTTTTTTTTATCGAAAAAATATTGAACCGTGACACCAAAGTATCGAACCAAACCGTGAATTTTGTGTATCGTTGCACCCCTAATATATGTGTGTGTGTGTGTGTGCACGCCTAGGATATCTGCCTAATCTGGCTATTCTGTTGAACCGAATTTTTTGGTATTCTTCCATGTAAGTGTGAAATTGTTTGCAGAATTCTGTAAGTAGAGATTCTGTAGACTGTTTATCCCAATGGGTGTAGTTTATATTGGCCCATTTTCAATTCATAGCGATTTCATGGGAACGTTGATTTGAAGAAGGTACTGCAAATATTCAGAACTGCGGTAAATGCTCATTGCCTATAATGTTGCCCCTGATAAAGAAAATACAGACATGCAAATCTACCTCATAAATCTACATGTACTTTACATGAAAATTTATAAACTATGTTTATCTACCTTATGTATGTAGTTCCTAGAAATAGCCAGAGAATGTCAGTCTACTGAGCCGGTTATGTTAGAGAATTAATTACACTAAATCATCTGTAGCTTAATCATCTGATGAACCCCCTTAAAAGTATTATGTGAAAATATTTATGTTTAAAATGTGTGACATTTAATATATACTGTGTATTTATATATTGTATTTACTTATATATTGAATATAAAAGAAATACCAAAAGGGACAGTAGTGAAAACAGCATGATTTATTTATTTCTTGTTTTCAAATGAGAGAAGATATTAGATTATAATAAACTGTTAGGTTAATTGTGTCTGTGCAGAGTCTGTGGGGATTCTTTTGTCCTCATATCAGTATCCTCCAGGCAGCATCAACAGCGTGTGAATGGTGGACATGTGTTTGATCCCATAAGATATCAGCAGAGCTGGCTCCGCTAGTGGCTGGTTTCTAAAGACAATCCGGAAGTCTGCCTCTAAACAAAAGAAGAGAGACGAGTTTTAACATCTTTGATTCAGTTCTCTAATGGTTAATATACAGGTACAGATAAATTGATGAATCTGATCAGGTTTACGGATAACAACAGGGAACGTGAATGGACTGAGTAAATTGGATTCCATAGCTGTTTGGGCCCTCAGACCCCCCCAGAGCTTTTCCCCTAGATTCACCATTGTCAGTCTGTGTGTTCTGTGATAAACATCTGTTGTAAATAAACACTTCTAATATCTTTAACGAGCACCGCCTTTGAGTCCACTCACCCTGTATCTGACGTGACATAAATACATGATTTATAATAATACTTAGAGTAAATACTTACTCTAAGCCCTTCTACACACAATATATTTGATCTCTAAGCCACAATTTGGCTTAGAGAACCAAAAACCTAGAACCATGACATCTGACATGTCATGGTTCTAGGTTTTTGACCCAGCATTCTGAGTATGCCTACTTTTATGTTATTGAATTGAATTGAATTGAATGAATGCTTTATTGGCCATATGCAGGTTGCCCCACAGAGGAATAGGACCCCCCCCCCCCCCCCCCCCGACTTACACACACAACAAAGACATCACATGGGAATACAGTCGGAGATCGGCAGCGTTGCAGAGAATAACACTGAAAAAATTACACAACAATGGGAAAAGTACAAGAGGAAAAAAAGAGACCTCTTCACACGCTGGGCAACCTATGGGAGGACAGCATGAGAACAGGAAACAAAAAAACTCCTCTGCACAGAGAGCACATTAATGTCCACATCACAACATTAGAGCACATGACAAGCCACAGGGGATGGATAGGGGGAAGAATAGTCATCACACAGTCGTTATCAGGGAGTTGTTTTGGTGGGCTCCAGCCTTGGGCCTGCAGCTGGCGCCGTGGTGTCCAAATGTTGAATATTGTTGATTTCAACTTTGTGAGCAGCTCGAATTTAGCACTCTGAGACTGGTCTCTCGATCTCCCGTTGAAGAGCTGCGAGCCTCCCCATGATGGTATCAAACTTCTGTTCCATGGTGTTGTCAGTCTTTTGATTCTGAGACCTCACAACTGCAGTGATCCGTTCCGCGATGTTTTCCAACTGTCGCTCAAGGGTCTCATTTTGAGCAGGCCTCTCTCTGATGTTTCCCCTCATACGCTCAATGGTGTTGTTTTGAGCCTTCACAGCAGCTTTAAGCGTCTCCAAGGTGTTGACCATATTACGTTCGTTGTGAGAGGTCGCACCTCGTCCCGTCGCTTCGAATCCAGCGGGCAGCCTTGTGGGGGTTTGAACAGCCGGTTCCGCTCTCTCATTTCTCTGATAAACCAGGGCTAAGCCAACGCCGATCAGCATGAACCCAGTTATCATGGTTCCGAATAGGTAGATAGCTTCAGCGTCCTCGATCGACAGTCCCGCCAGGCACACGGTCCTCCAGTTCTGCCACCCGTCCATCGTGTATCCGGCAGGGAAAGTCCCTCCAGGGCACTCAGGCTCTCCCGAGCCCCGACTTCTCGTTGAGAAAAGGGTGTCAATAGCAGTCAGAGACCAGTTGATCAAATCCATAATTCTCTTTTAGGTTTTAGAGAACGACAGTGAGAGACTGTTCCAGGGAAAGTAAATTCACACAAGACAAGACAAGGACATAGAGGCGAAGCAGGGAAGATAAGGGTGAGGAGGAGAGGAGAAAAGTGCGACCGCCTTCGCTGAGAGCTCAAGAAGCATTATGTTATTATGTTATAGTTTATATAGTTATTTAGCTTAGGCTTCAGTAGGTTCTGTTTTTGAGTTTTGCTCCCCTGTGGCATCATGTTTATTTGTGTCAGCTGGGTTCCCTGTGTGTTTCCACTTCCCCTTTACTCTTCTGTGTATTTAAGTCCTCTGTCTCATTCCATTCATTGTCAGATCACCTGCTTACCTCTTCTGTGTTTCCATGGTTCATGCATTCAGGTATTATACATTTTTTTATGTATTTAGTTTCTGCCAGTTGAGGGTTTTGTTAGTTCCTGTCCTGTTTGTATTATCGTTTATTTTATATTTGTATTTGTGTTTGGATCCACACCTCTAACTCCACTCAGTCTGCAGCATCAAACTGTGACATGACCAAAGTTTTTTTTGTGCTACACTCAGAAAAATAAAGGTGCCAACTGGACCAAAAGTGGTTATTTATAGAATAACCTTTTTTGGTGCCACAAAGAACCTTTCAAACAATGGTTCATTGAAGAACCTTTTTCGGTGCCCTAAAGAACCATCAAGAAATGAAAGAACTTAAAGAAAATGAATGAATAAAGAACCATCAAGAAATGGTTCTTTGGGTTACCTTTAATGGTTTTTCAAAGAACCTTTTTTAAAAAGGTCCTTCAAAGGGTTCATTAAAGAAGAATTTCAAATCTTTCAAAATAAAATGTATCATAAATTGAATTTGAGTAGGGTAAAATAAATACAAGCACAGCATAAACATATATTAAGGGTTTATTGCTATTTCGTAATATACCAAAAGACAAAAAGACATTTTATCCCTCAGCACCACATCATTACTAATACATGTCACATATTAGTCATTTAAACAGAAATAATTAAACATTTTTACTATACTGTAAATAAATATGTATAAATACTATATCTATAGATAACACAACAATTACAACATGTATTGTTTAATTAATAAAACATCAGAAAGTGGTAGAAACACATTAAAAATAGCAATTGCTTCATAACAGACCAATAAATCAACACATTTTCATCAGCAGATGTTTGCATGTTCGGTAAAAATAAATGTTTTTGATTAAAATTATCAATGAACTTCAGTCTTAACTTATGTAAGGTAAGTTTCATGTTGGACTCATGGGTCTTTGTTAGTCCAGTTTAGGATAATGTCTCTGACATATGTATCATATCAAATATATGTCATTTCAAAACAACCCCACACCTGCAGTTGTTTCAGTTTTTCACAGGTGTTTCCTATCAGCTGGTCAACCTTACTCAGGTGGACATCCATATCAGCCAACCAAATGACAAGCTCCTCCCTTTGTGCTTCAAATCCCTCCCAATCTGAGACAAGAAGCTGAGAGAGGAAAAACAAGGGTCAATTATAAAGAAGAGAGAAAAGTGAAACCCTACTTAGAAGGTTTGACTTGCATACCTGTAGTCGACCTGCGATGGACTTGGCATTCACGTCATCCCAGAAGCGGCCACACTCCCTCGCTGTTGCCAGCAGCCGAGTCTGCAGGGTGCCCTGGAAGAGCAGAGTTAATGTCCAACTCCTCCTGGCCAGGCTCTCCAGCTGGATGAGCCAAGGTCTCCTCTCTCGCCGCTGCCTCTTGACACACAAACACAAATTGCATGTGAAACAGGAGGTGCAGATTTTTTTGCTATTCTTTTCTAAATCCAGGCTTGATAATGTGGAGGTATTATGAAAACTTTTTTGGCCAGCGGACGACTGTTGTCGCGCAGAAAGTCAAATCAAATGTATGCGATACACAATTAATTCACAAGAACACATTATAAAAAACAAGTTCAGTTCTTGCCTGATTTCAACTGAATTCTGCATCAAAACAGGGTAACAGAATTAAAAGAGTGTTTGCAGCAAAAGTGAGCACAAGCCTGCTGTCAGGATCCTGGGTCTCCTGACCAAGCATTTTTAGTTCTGTGTGATTTTTGTGTTTTGTCAAGTACTCGTGTGATTTATTCTATGGTTTCTAGTTTTAATCCCTTGCCCCTCATGTTTCTCTGTGCCCCCTCTGCTCTGTGTAAAATCCACGTTTCTTGCTCTGTGTCTTCACATGTTTTGAGTTTCTTGTGTTTTCTGTCACTCTATATTGTGAATTATGTTCTCATGGTTGGTCTTTTGTCACTCCCTCGAGTGTTCCATGCTTAGTAATTCCCTCTGTGTAGAGGTTTAGAGTCCTCCGCCTTATGGTTTATGTCTCTGTGTTTCTTAGTTGCTGTCTCTACCATGTCAGTTCGCGTCTCTGTGTTATACTTCCTGTTTTACTTTGAAGGTCCATGTCTAATGTGAATGTGTCCTGCTTTGCTTCCTTGTCTCGTCAGTTCTGATTTCTCCCAGCTGTGCCCTCCTTCTGTATTTCATTCCCCTTGTTACTTCCCAGTGTATTTAAACCCTGTGTTTCTCTGAGTCAGTGTCGCGTTGTCCGTCATGCGGTGTGGATCTCCCTGTGTCTCCCCGTGAGTTTAGCGTGTTATTCACCAGTTTAGTTTAGTTTACTTTGTATGATTGTTTTCCTGTGACCAGCAAATAAAGCTTTTGAGTTCATCCCTCGAGTGCCTGCATTTTGGGTCCAACTCCTGCCTGCCACACAGCGCTTCCTGACAGAACGACGCGACCAGACATGGACCCAGCAGCACTCAACCCATCAGAAGATCTACGTAAAGACATTATTTACTCTGTGGAGAAACTCCTTAACCCTTTAAGACCTACAATAGAACCAAGTCCGCCAGAGCTTATATTATATTTTTACATGCTGTAGTGCCATTTTTGGGAGCATTTCAAGTTGCTATACATCAATACAACCATTATATCCCAGATTTTAATAATATGTATGCATTAAGTGCATAGCAATTACGTAAATTGCAACAAAGTGCAATAAACTACAAAAAAAATTGAAAATCGTTTTTCAGCCATTCAGGCTACTACTCAGTCAGTCATTCAACCTATAGCCCTGCCATTAATGCACTCTGTAGCTGAGCCATTAGCCGCCCGGCCAACAGACAATTCAGCCACTCTCCACCTGTTACACCTCCACTACAATTGTCACTGCTGCCCGCAGCACAGCCCTTATCCCTGCTACCCATAACTCCGTCTTCAGTGTCCCCTCTTCCTGTAGCTCAGCCATTGGTTCTGTCGTCAGCAGCTACGTTTGCACCAGAACCATTAGCTTAGTTTCCTGTGCAGTGACCCCTAGTTCATTCTCCTGTGCAGTCATCTACTCCACCACCTACTCCACTCTCACTACAGCCATCAGTTCAGTCCCCTGTGCCAGTTCAGACTTCAGTTCAGTCCCCTGTGCCAGTACCGACTTCTGTGCAGTCCCCTGTGCCAGTTCCGACTTCTGTGCAGTCCCTTGTAGCACTTCAGTTCCCTGGTCAGCCACATATTCACCGACCTAGTCAGCCTAATGTTCAGTCAGGGGTCCCCACACCCTCTGGCCCTACAGCTCAGATGAGCCCATCCAGCACACCGCGGCTCCCACGCCGCCACTTGCCTCATCCGCTGGGGGTTCTGGAGAGCCCGGCCAGCCCTTCCTCATGTCTGCTGGGGGTTCTGGAGAGCCTGGATAGCACTTTCTCCTCGCCGCTGGAGGGTCCGAGGGGCCGTCGCCTGCAGTGCCTACATCCTCGTCTGGTCCAGCCTCCGAGTCTTTGCCCTCGCCTGGTCCAGCTTCGGACTCGGCCTCTGCCTCGCCTGGTCCAGCTTCGGCCTTGCCTGGTCCTGCCTCTGTTTCTGCCTCGCCTGGTCCTGTGGTCCTTACACCACTTTCTGGGCCTCTAGCCGGACGTGGTCTCTGTCGCTGGCCTCCGGACCAGCTCTATCGTCTCCGTCGCTGGCCTCCGGACCAGCACTGTCGTCTCCTTCGCCTGTGTCTCCGGCCCCCTGGACTGTTTCCACGTCGCCGCCATTGCCGTCTGCGCGGTCGGCCCCTGAACTGTTTCCACGTCGCCGCCACTGCCTTCCGCGTGGTCGGCCACCTGAAGTGAACTGTTTGGGCTATTTTCTTTAGCTCCGGTGTTTCCTGTGAACTGCTTTTGCTTTCTGTTCCGAGCCCCCCCCCCGTCCTGGACCTCCGCCGCCCGCCCTGGGTTGTTTTCTGTTTGGGTTTGGTTTTGTTTTTCTGCGTTTGGGCTGTCTGTTTCTTAGTTGCTATTAAAGTTCTCCTCTATGCAGACAACGTTCCTGTTTTCAAGGTCAAACTTGGATCTGCTCTATAAATCTTATGGATACACGCTAAATGAAACTGTAGTGTGCATGACTCCAGATTCTGATCCCTCATCCCAATATGGTCCCAAAAGGCTCACAAAAAACAACATAGCAATAACAATAAAGCAAATGTTGAGGCTTCAAAATAGAGAGTCCTTAATCCAATGACTAACATGGGTTTTATCATAAGGGTGATAAATATACAACATATGCTCTTAAGACTAAAAGTATAATACAGATTTTAGTCTGAGAGATTTGATGTTCATTTACCTGCAGATGCCATAAATGTGCCTGCTCCGTGGTTTTCCACAACGTTTTGCAAACTATTTAATACAGGAAGTAGGTGAACTAAAACAAGTCATCTTTCTTTGTGAGAGGATAATATTAATGAAACAAACCTCAATGACATCAAAGAGATCCCTAAAGATGCTCCTTCCTCCTCATCCTAAGCTTCCTTCTCCTTGTCCTTGACTTCCATCCAATTGTAATTCAATCTAATTGATTTTCTCCCCCTCCTCTTCCTCATTTTGTTGGAGCTGTGAAAAGAATTCGTGTGAATCTGAATTAATTTGTGCAAACAAGAAAAATCTACAGATTTTCGGTCAGAGGTGGTCTTGTTGATTTAAGCCGGGTAGAGTAGATTTATCTTTTGATGCTACCTGCTTCATCTCTGCGACTGGCTGCTGAGTGATATTTACACCCCAGCTGGATTACAAAATTTAACCACGTGCTGAACTTTGGCCCATTGTTCATACCTCTTGTTAGTATAATGACCTCTTCTTGTCTTAATGTATGATGCTGGATAAATTAAACAAATAAAATTTACTATATTACAAAAGGACAACTATCTTGGTAACATCAAATGACCGGAGCATAACTTGTTAACTAGTCCGAAAATAAGGAACAGTCAAAGACACACCTTTTCATGTGTCACATTTCTATTCATTCAAAACACTTATGCATAGCTGTATTTTATACAGCTATTACAGAATTCAAAGTACAGGCTGATGTGAGTATCTAATGTACGGCTCAGATCTACTGAATTTCAGAATTTCTAGAGCAGACACAGCTCACATCACAACAGGATTCTAGTGCATTTAACAATATTAGAAATTTTAATATCGGTCTAGCTGACATTATGTTATGTACAGAGCACGCAATAGAACGACATATTTTAGAAGCCAAAGGTTAAAATTAGTTGGGAGCATCTTCACTTAATTATAACAGTGGTTTTTTCTTTTAAGAGAACAGTTCTGTATACCGATACTAAATTGCATTAACGTCAACGGCTAAAGTATCTAACATAGCTAACTGTTATTTTTTAGCACAGCATTAACAGCAAGCTACAATGACGAGTAACAAAAACAAAACAGTAAAAAGGTTTTAATGAAAATGTTTTACCTTTTCCAACAGTCCCAGAATCCAGAGCTTCAAAGACCATTTGGTTCTCAAGACTGTTATCCGCTTCACTATCACGGGCTGTGAGAAAGTGTTTTTTCCTTGGAAAGTACAAGGCCCACTGGTCGCGCAATCTATCTGCGCATCCCAACGATTGACCCCCTCCCCTCCCTTTCGGGAGGTTGCCATAGTACGACGTGTTCTAACGTGTCTCTCTCTCTCTCTCTCTCCCTGTCATTTATTTGGCTTGAAACACATATTAACAAATTCTTCAGTGATAAGCATTACTGAGATCCTTTACCTAAGCAGTGTGCTTTGTCAAAACTAAGTGTGTCGGTAATGAACACATAAGTGTGTTCATTACATTGACATTCTGTTGTGCAATTTTTATTTATTTATATATGTATTTTATAATTAGACTTTACATACTGCTGGGTGGTTTGTAAAGTTTACAATAACTAGCATTATCACTATGTTATACTTTCTAATATATATAATAATCTCAAAATTAATGCCTTGAAGCAGAAAAAAGTAATACTTTATTAAAATGTAAAACTAAAGTACAGTATTTGAATGTGTGTATTGTGTCTACTGTTTGTTAACTCACCATATTCATAAACATCTTAATAATAAATTCCATATTCTATTACAACATTATTTGTGATCAATGGGTTTGCAGGGTTAGGGGTTTTCGGTGTAGGGTCTTTAGGCTTTGGCCCCCACCCCTGCAACCAGTATATTTTTAAGCAATTATTTCTAACTTTTATTTGGATATTCAGCTTCCTACCATCTGCTCTTAAAAGGTAATTGCCAGGTAACCCGCCCTCCCCCTTCGCACACACATGCACACAAACAAAACTCACAGTATAATTCACACCCTCATTATAGTGAATAAATATTTATGCCGTTTTACACCATCAAACTTAAATTGTTAAGGATGAAGAAGCTTTTGTTCTTTAAAGAACCATTTGTAATACCTAAAGAACCATCTACAAAATAAAAAGGTTCTTTGACGTATGATGGTTCTTTAAAGAACCATGAAGACATCTGAAGAACCATAATTTTTCTGAGAGTATTTGTATTGTCTTTGTTATCCAACTCTAGTCTAAATATCTATACTGTATCTTATAAAATTTTATTAACAGAAAAAAAATGTTACAAATAGCATCAGTGAAAAAAGTATAGCCTACTGTAAGGAGAGAAATATTATACATACTTATCATAAGCGTTTCATAAATGATGTTTTTCAGGTCCAGCACAGTCATGCTCTCCAACTCCTCTATATTTTCACAAATATCGGTGATCTTTTCCTCTCCTCTGGGACCATTTATTTTCAGCTGGATTACCATTTTGGCACTGAGAGTTGGATCTGCTTCGATCTAAGTTGAGTCAAACCTTCACCAATGTCTTTAATACAATGATCTACCTCCTCTAGACAAGCTGTAGTAACCACCCTCTTACCACATTCTTCTTAAATGGAATGTCGTGGCTCACTATGACACACAGAACAGGTCTTGTACAATCAGCCTCACAGTAAGGTGTTGTGTACTCAAAATCATTTGAGTAAATGAAACCAGTAAACTTGTGACAACTGTCGCGGTTCGAATTTTGAGGAAGAGACATACGACTGAAAAAGTCCATAGTGGGTCAATAAAGTATTTTATTAAAAACACACAGTACAGTGTGGGAAGAGCCGGACTTCTTCGAGCAGACCGCTCCCCATCCTTATATTAGCCTGATGACGTCACAGTTAGATCTTACTGGAAATGATAACTGTTCCCCACACTCAAAAAGTTCTCCTTATATAAACATCAGCTGATACTTTAGAGACAAACAAGTGTGTGATATTTTGTGCAGTTTGTGAGACTATGTGTTCAACAGAGAGGATGTCCTGAAACGACCTCCCTGTCCTTAATAAGTGTGTAAGTGAACGTGCGTGTTTTACATAACTCTCTATGTGCATGTTTTGTGTAGACCTGCAATATGTGTGTAAGTGAATGTAGAAGGCCCAGCTGGACCCACCGCTTCTGCTGGTGCTTTTTCACCACATGATAGAGTATTACATCTAGAATGGGTTTTATCCTGCGTGCTCTGAAATAACTGATAAATGATACATGATAAACTGATGATAAGTAACACAGACTAATGAAGTAATGATGAAATAATGACAGGGCATGTAAATGATAACAACGTGACAGTAAAATAACAGGTTTTTCTCGACACAACCTTGTGTCTCTGTTGGAGCTCTACTGGATGATAGATGTTTTAAGATCAGTAAAGAGTGTGGTTCAAGATTCACAGCTTGTTTCTCTGCTATAACCCCAAGACAATTCTTTGTACCTATAGGAAAGATGAAGGCTGTGTGGGACTCAATTTAATGTTTTGATCCTGTGATATCAAAAAATACAAACACACCATTGCTGTACTTCTATGTTTTTCAAAAATAGCTGGCTGTTTTTTAAATAAAGAAATATAGATTATCATTAACCAATGTGCGGCTATAGCCTGTAGGTTTATATTGTTAATTGGTAATTATGAGATAATTTCAGATCATTTTAATTTTCACTATGAAAGTAAATTAACAAGTATTATAACAAATGCCTTCTTCCTGGATGTAATTAGGTAACATACTGCATTACTTTTAATAAAAGTCTTCTATGTAATATCAGTAATAACTTTTTCACTTTACTTTTTATAAGCAATGACTGAAAAACTGTTCACAACAAAGAAGTCCAAGTGCACAAACATTAGACCATGCAGCATGCAATCAATGACAGTCAATAAGGGTATCGATAAGGAATGTAATTGATAAGTGATTTCCATAATGGAATCGGAATCACTAAATTCCTATCAATTCCCATCCCTATTTGTGTCTCTTCTTTGGTGTAGGGGACCCAAATGCTATCTGCACATATTTGCTGTCAATAGAGTTTTGTAGATTGGGCTATTTGAATTCAAAAATATGACATTGGGGATATTCGCTGGGATAAAAAATGATGCCATAAAGAGATGCAGAAATGTAGTGGCCAGTGAGTTGAATAACTAGACCAAAAGTTGAGAAGTTTTACATTCATTGGACTCCTATACTCAGCTGCCTTTGCAGGTTCCATCTCGGCACCTCTCCTCATATCTGCTGTCTGCCTTGTTCCTCTAATGATGCACTCTGCAAGTGACAATGCAGAGGTCTCCAAATGCTTACTCTGGATTGCATTAACTTGGCCTCCAGTAACACCGTAAAGAATCTTGAAGTTATTTTTGACCTGGATATGTCCTTCAATGTGCATATTAAACATATATGTAGGACTGCTTTCTTCCATTTGTACAGTATCTCTACAGGGTGGGCCATTTATATGGATACACCGTAATAACATAGGAATGGTTGGTGATATTAAAGTCCTGTTTGTGGCACATTAGCATATGTGAGGGGGCAAACTCCTCAAGATGGGTGGTGACCATGGTGGCCATATAGAAGTCGGCCATCTTGGATGCAACTTTTGTTTTTTCAATAGGAAGAGGGCCATGTGACACAACAAACTTATTGGTAATGTCACAAGAAAAACAATGGTGTGCTTGGTTTCAACGTAACCATTCCCATGTTATTATGGTGTATACATATAAATGGCCCATCCTGTAAAATTAGAAAAATCCTGTCTCAGTGAGGTGCTGAAAAGCTAACTCATGATTCTATTACTTGTAGGCTGGACTACTGGAAATCATTATTATCAGCGTTTCTGTTAAAGTGAATTGTTAAATGTTGTCATTTTTATGCTTACCATCTCTACATTGTTTTAACACTGTGATGATGTTTGGTAAGCTTCCTGCCCTTTTTATGGCTACACTGTGTGTATTGGTGAACCAATACAGGAATTATACCATGGGGCGATCGTGGCTCAATCGTTGGGAGTTCGTCTTGTAATCGGAAGGTTGCCGGTTCGAGCCCCAGCTTGGACAGTCCCGGTCGTTGTGTCCTTGGGCAAGACACTTCACCTGTTGCCTACTGGTGGTGGTCAGAGGGCCTGGTGGCGCCAGTGTCTGGCCTCGCCTCTGTCAGTGCGCCCAGGGTGGCTGTGGCTACAATATAGCTTGCCATCACCAGTGTGTGAATGGGTGGATGACTGGTTGGGGTCCTTAGGGACTAGTAAAGCGCTATACAAATACAGGCCATTTTACCATACATTGGGTGTGGGGGAGTGTCAAGAGATTTTTATTTTTATATAATTTGATCAGCTTCATGAAATGTGCTTTTCTGTTTCCTAAGCAATCTAAATGTCTATGTGACTTTTCACTTAATAACTTTTGTGAAGCACTTATCCAGCTACTGAACCACTTCCTGTTTTTAGAGAACAGATGTAGAAAAGGGAAATAACCCGTCAAGACCTGACAGGAAACTGCAGGTTTGCAGAGCGTGCTTTTCTTACATGCGTATGTGCTGATTCTGTTGATTCTGAGTGACGTTGTTATTTTTACACACACACACACACACACACACACACACACACACACACACACACAGACATATATAAAATAAAAGTACGCAGGCAGCGGCGGCACAGTTCGAAGGGTGCGTTCGTTGCTGCCCACGCGTGTAAAAAAAACGACTGCAGTGTTTGTGTTTTCTAAGCTGAAGCTGTCTTAGCTGAAGAATTACAGGGTGATTTAAAGAAATCCCCTGTCATTTAAATTGGTCCTTCGAGCTTAGCGATGGAAACAACAGACACGTTTCTGTGACTCCAATGGTCTGACTGCTGTATCCTGACGTCGTGGGGAAGCCAGCACCGAAGTCTGTCTTTCACCTCTACCTAGGTAGAGGTGAAAGACCTGGGACGTAAGAATTCGGGTTCAGGCCGGTGAAGTCTGGTCCACGGCGTTGGGATCCAGCCAAGACAATTTGAACAACCAGCAAAAGACACCTGAGGGTGAGAAAACACTGTTTAGGTCTAATCCGCCGCAAGGATTTGAAATAGACGTGTGTAGATCTAATCCACCGCAAGGATTTGAAATAAACGTCTGTAGGTCTAATCCGCTGCAAGGATTTGCGCAAATGTCTATCTGTGTGTATGTATATGTGTTTTGGAAGTAAATTGATTTTACAGCACAGTACGCTGCTGAATTACTTCCATTGTTTTCTTTGTGTTCCTGCAAAAAGCTCAAGTACTGGTGACAACGGGGAAGGTTGAGTTCCGTCTCATAAAACTGCACCGCTCCGTGAATAGTGCGGAGTAGAAGGGTGTGTCAGCCACCACCCCCGAGTCTAGTACCAGAGAAGGCTCTGCAGTTCTGTGATAATGGGGAATCAGCCCACAAAACTCACTGCTGACGAGCAGTGGCTAGAAAGGAAATGTCCAGGCGCCGGACAAATCAGTGCTTGTAGATGGAGAAATCCTAAGAAAACAAAATGTCCCACTTGGGAAGGAAAATGCAGCCCCTCAGCGTTAACACAACTGAAAGAAGCTCTTTCGAAAGAAATAGCATCAACAAAAAACTTACAAAAGAAAGGAAAACGTACGCAAGAATTAGAATATTTCCAGGCCTCGAAAGAAGAAGCAGTTAGGCGAGATGAAAATAAAAAGAATAAACAAGAAAAACTTACACCTGATGAGAAATGTTTAGAAAGACAACAAACCAGAGCAGGACTAATTCAAAAGAAAGACAGAGGAATGCATAGTAGAACAGCAAGAGGCTTTAGTACTGCATGCTGGAGGTGTGGAAAAGAGGGACATTTTGTATGTGACTGTAAGAAACAAAGAAGCAGTTCAGACTAGGAAGAACATAATAATCCCTCATCAAGTAAAAGATTAGAGATCAAAGTTTAAAAAGGGCTGGATACAGACCCAACTGAATACATATAAATACAAGGAGAAAATAAAATAAACAAAAGGCTAAATTACATTAGAGTTTATTTTTAACATATTCAAAATAATAATAGCGAGGATAACAACCTGTAAACTGATATTAACAATGAAACATAGTTGGCATGACGACCGTGTACAGAATGTATGGAATGAATGAAAGCAAATAATTCACACGAAAACCTATTAAATAAAACAGAGATGCATAAGGTACATTACAGCTGTGTCATTGTTCAGCCAAGGAAAGTGAGTGAAAAGGTAAATGTCTCCAGCTTGGGAAATGGTGAAACTGCAGATCACCCGAAGCCCTTGATGGATACAAAATAAAATATAAATAGAATATTATAATAAACTGCCTGGTTCGCCATGCAACAGAGAACAAATGTGACCGAAGGTTGGATCTGATATGAGGCAAACAGAAGACCAGTCTAAAAAGTAGGTACAAACCTGTTCAGAGAAAAAGCAAATCTGTGCAGATTGGATGAATTCTAAATTATCTGTTTGCTGAGTAAGATGATCCTAACTATTAAATTGGCTCAGTAATAAAATATTGTAATATACTGTTGTTGTTATATAGAAAG